TTCTTTCCCCCTTTTTTTTTTTATTTATTTCTCTTCTTTCGCGCCCCGAAACCTCTCAACAGGTTACGGGCTCGTTCTTCTTTTCCGCCTTTCTTTCTTTCTTTCTTTCTTTCTTTCTTTCTTTGTTTTTTTACGGGGTCGCGCGCCCTCTTTTAATCCTCCGCGAGTCAGGAATCTTTCCCTCGAGGAAAGATCGGAAAATCGGATTTTTCTATCCACCAACTTTTGCCCGTTTCGGTTTCGATTCTTTAATGGGGACGAATACATTAAATCGACACGCGCTATATATATTTATATAGGTGTCGGTGAAAAAGCATATGCGTAAATGGGGCACAACCGATATAAATTCAAACGTATTTACGCGGTAAGGGTGGCGTAATTTATGGCCCGTCGATGTAATGGAAACGCCCATGGAGAGAAGATATCCGCCCGTGCAAATTCGATTATATCGCAGCGTGTATACGCCTCGATTCAGCGCGGGGAATAGAGTTAAATTAAAAAAAAAAAAAAAAAGGAGAGAGAAGAGAAGAAAAGAAAAACGCATGGAACGTGCATATTTCATCCGTCTCTTCCCCCATCCCTCCTATATAATCCTCCAAAGAGGATACACACGCCGCGCTGTTAAACGTCATCTTTTTCTTCTTCTCGACTTCTCTTCTTCTCTTGGCAAAGTTGCATCGAGAAATAAAATATATTTGGGTTTGGGATTTTTTTGAAGATATTTCTCGACTCGTGAATTTATTTTCGAGCTCGTTAACACCTAAGAATATTCTAAACACCCGAACGCACTCTTCTCGCTGCAGAAAAATACGGAAGGAAGAGGGAGAGGAGGAAAAAGGAGAGAGGGGAAAAGAATCGTCATCCCCTTCGGGAGACGATGGAGATAAGCGGGAACAGGGCCGATAATGATCCGACTCTCCTCATCCCCTGACCTTTCGCACGACCAGAAGCCACCGACTGCTATCCCGCCTGATATTTACGAGATCCTTTCTCTCGAAGGAAGCGAGATGAAAAAGAGGAATGTCATCGTTTGTCGGGTCAAGTGTGCCGTGGAGGGAGTTCCATCCGGTTGCTTGCTCCCCTCCCTTCCCCCAGGTGGTAGTCGTGGCACGGAAGGAAGCCGTGGGCAAGCTGGAACCCTTGGGCAGGCCGCGATACCAACCCTCGTGGCGATGCTTTTTACGGTGACGGACGACTCGTGGAGGCGTGTCGACGTGTGCGACGGAGCCGACCAAGGGTGGGCTCGCGTGATCGAAGCCCGAGGAGGACGCCCACGAAGGAAATCACGGGGTCGCGCAATCGCAGAGGCACCCCCCTCATAATGGATATCTCCGCGATGGAAACGCGAATGGGGGGCCTCGTATCGGATGTATCGACGACATCGCTGCCCTCCAAGAGCCACCACTTCGTGCTCGCCAACCCTCGATCCATTAGGATTTTGCTGCTTCGTTCAACGATTTTCCTCGTTCGGTTTTTGTCTCGTTTCTAGGTAACGACGTTTTCACGTACGTGCGCCGCGATAAAGCTATATAAGGTAAAAATAAGGAAAGAAAATGTATAAAATTCGTAGATCGTAGGCGGATTTTCGAGTTATGGCTGTGAAAACGGAGGAGAACGATCGAAGTCATCGACGCGTTTACGATCCCCCGTTCCTACCAAACCATAATCTGAAACGAAACGATTCTGCCCTCTTCCCCCCATCGGGGGACTAACCACGAAGAATGTAAAATTTTCTACCTGACGGGGTGGATGGGGACGAGGGCAACAGATGGTTCGACACTTTGCATGTCGTGCCGCATAAAATCATTTATGCGAGGACGTGACGACTTTCTTGCCCGGTTTAGAAGCGGATGGAAACGTTGGAATACTCGATTTGCCAGCCAGCCACGGTATGGCGCACTTTTTCACCGGTAAATATCGCTTGTTAGTTACGCGCCATTGCACTTTTTGGCCGGGCTTTTTCATCCACGCTCTACGACGCGTTCTATTTCGTTAACGAATTAACCGAAACTGCGAATTTTCTCGATTATTCGGCCCCCTGTCGCGTCGAAAATTTCAAATAATTTCAAATAAAACGAACAAATCCTTCCAGTTTTGCATTGTTTCTAATACAAATGAAAACTATGCACCCACATTTTCCCAATAATGAAATTTCTACTTCTTTCTTCGTATCCCTCTCTTACCTTCGAATAAGCAACGTTGCGATACAAAGATATAATATTCGTTCTTGCTTCTTCGATACCCAGAGATCGAACGATCGAATCTCGTGTAAGATCTCGTGTCTCTCCCGTGTAAGAAAGAGAGGAGAAGAGATTTTCGTCGTTGAAAAAGACGAAGAAAGGGGGCCTAAAGTAGAAGGACAAAAGGGGGAAAAAGGGATCCGACGTGGAAAACAAAGAGGCGCGTATTGAAAGTGTGCCGTTTGATGGTGGTAGACGTATCTACACGTCTACTTATACGCCGACCTATACCCTTGCCGAGTTATTCGGTTCGGTGTGGATGGGCGCGCGCCAGCCACCCAGGGATGAGGAAGAGAGTATACACGACTGATCTCGACTAAGATTATAAAATGGCGACCCTCGCCCTCCCCCTCCCCACGGCTTGCCCGTTCTTAATTTCGCTCGAATCCTTTTGTCCCCTCCCTGCTCGCTCCCTGCTCTCTCCTCCCCGCTCTCCTTTTTTTCTTTTCTTTCTTTCTTTCTTTCTTTCTCTCTCTCTTTCTCTCTTTCTTTTTTTCCTTCCCTTCTTTCTCGCCGGCCACCCTTCCCTCGCCCACCCACTTTCTTCTTTGCCTTTCCGCGGCGCTTGGCTTTCGCAATCGGCACAGCTCTCGAGATGTTGGCAAAGGAAAGATGGAGAGAAGAAGGCCTGGGCGAATTCTTTTACGTGACGATTCTGATGAATAGAGAGCGTGGCCAACGTTCCGAGCTGGAACGTTGGAAATGGATAGGAGCTTGGTGGATGGATGACGATCGTCGTCGCAAGAGCCGCGGAAAATGCCACCGCAAAAAAACCGAGGGGCGGTGGTTGGTGGGTCGTTCTTTGTCGTCTTCCCTTTCGCGATTCGACTCGAGCCCGAGTTATCTTTGATTAATGCGGATCCTGGATGAATACTTGCACTCGGATGAATTTTCCCTCGAAACGAGTTCGATTCGAATCTGGAACGCCTTGGAATATCTCGAATAGATTGGAAAAATACGAACAACGTAACTCGATCGTCTGCGAATTAGGATACGTGCAAATATTTTCCTTTCCGTTTTTCCTTTTTGGTTAATCTTTCGACCGATCATCTAATCATCAACGATAGTATTGTTTGAAAAAAAAAAAAAGGTAAATCTTTCTTGTCCGCGTTCTCGAGCGTTTGTCATCGAATTGTAACGTAAAGAAACACCTTCCAAGTGGCATATCCTTTCATCGAGGCGATCCCTTCCAACTTTCCAGAAGGTTCACTCTCGTCCTCGCAGCGCATCATCGCGGTGTCAACGGCGCATCATCGGCACCCTGGTGGGCAGCAGGAGGCGAGAAAAGCGTCGTTGGCTCGCCTAAGACGCTTCGCGGTGCGTCGATCGCCATATTGGGGGCGGTCCATCTTCCCTCCAATCGGCGATAGAGCGTGTGAAGCGTGGGTGCGGATCGCGCCCAATAGCTGTGCCCGGTGCCCCACCACGGAACCACCACACCCACGAATGTCACGTGCGCACGAGCAGCTGAAATACCGTTCGAACAGTCGTTCGCGTACTCTCGTGCCCGTCGCATCGATCGTTCCTTGCCTGCGCCCGACCGTTCCCTCGACTCGTTCGCGTTCCTCGCGTCAACGTTTCCAACACTTTTTATCGTTATTATCGCTGATAACGATAGTTCAATGGACCGATAAGAATTGTACAGATAACGAGACAAACTACTGTAATAGAATTTGATACTTTGTTCCGTTGGATAAAATCTCCGTGGTGGGATATTGAGATAAATGGCAAGGTTGACGTTAGTTTGAAATTGCTTCGAAATTAAATCAATCGTGTTTTTTCGAGTGTTACTCGAAAAGGGTGAGCGTTCGGAAAAAGGGGGGAATTGAAAGTGATTTGACTTTTTCTTCAAGAAAGTGAAAGTGAATTGATCGATTAACGATTAACGCGGACGGTCACATCAACGATGTTTTCGACAAGATTAGTGAGTTGATTCGGGTCTGTTTGAAAGTTATCGCGATCAGAGTATCTCGTATTCTGCGAGACTTAAAGAAAGTTCTTATTCGATCTTTCCAAGACTTTTTCCTTCCACCTTCTAAGATGGAAATACACGAAAAGTGGCAGAAAATTAAGAAAAAGAGAACGAATAAATGGTATTATTAAAACTAAAAAAAATAAAAATTCGAAACTAATTCCAATAATAAATATCCAATCGAATATCGATAATACTCGTTTATATTATAATAAATAGAACGATGTTGCAAAAATTGCAACGTTAATTGGTCAAAGTGCAAATTAAAAAATTATTGGACGCGTGGCAAAGTAGGAAGGACAGAAGCATGACTATGATAAGCCTGGAAATGTTGGGCCGTGAGGCTCTACCTTTGGAAGGGATGTATCGGCGCGCTCATCAAGATGTCTTGACACCGCCACACGATAGGCCAGAGTCTCAAAACGTGCGGCGGAACGGTAGTAACGGCGGAAACGTTGCGAACGTTGCCACTTTCGACGCCGCTCCTCGCCACGAGATGCACCCTCTGGATCAACCGGCCGTGGACCTCGGTTTGCCGGCCAATCTTCCTGAAATCCTCTACTGTAAGTGAGGGACGGTCAGCTTCGGATATGATAGAATATGCGTAAAAAAAGAAAAAAGCGTATTATCGTCGATGTTTCGTCGTTAAGTGTAAGGGGATCGGAAATGGGTTTTAAGAAGACGTAAGTAAATCGGGAAACAATCGTTGACTCGAACGAACGAAAGGAATATCGGAGTGATTTAGGAGTTGTGATAGAATCGGTTGGGAAGATCAGGGTTCAGGTGTTTATAATGAAACTGTGTAGTTGTTGATTCGCTCCCCATTGTCCTTAAATAGTCGTTTCTAGCGTATCCGATCGATATTTTGTCAAATTGTTAAAGAGATGTAATTGATATCGTCGGAGAAGTTAGGTTTCTTTCTTAGGATATTTTGAACGTTTTTCGTTTTGGAATTCTTTTTCTTTTTTTTTTTTTGAAATACAACGAGGATTGCATCGAATGTTGCAGCTTCGATACCAAAATGCGGAGGCTGTCAAGAAGCGATTTTAGACAAATATGTTCTGAGGGTTCTCGAGAGGTGTTGGCATGCGAGGTGTCTCACGTGCAGGGATTGCGGCGCAAGATTGACCGATAAATGTTTTGCAAGGAACGGTCACGTTTTCTGCAAGGATGACTTCTTCAAGTAAGTACCAATAATTATTTTTACTCATTCATCTTTGATCAATTATTTCGCGCTTTTTTTTCTCTTTCAACACGCGATAATCCCGCGCGTTGAATTGAAATTTTTCAAACGATCTCGTATCGAATCATATCCATTCCTTGCAATTTTCTCGGAAAACCGGAAACTACTTTTCAATATCGCTTTATAACAAGCATTTCGTTTACTTAATACTTTTTTTTATTAAACATTGTAAGCGTGTGAACACGTATTTGTTACGTAATATTATGACAAGTTATATGTGCAATTTTATCTAAACAGCAAAAAGATAGCAAAAAAAAAAAATAATATATATATATATATATAAAACACTTATCAACCGTTACGTATTGCAAAAATTGCAGTTGGAAAATCCGAGAGTCTGTATTATTCTCTCTAGAGAGTAATGGAGAAGGGGTATGCGAAGTAGTGGAAAAATAAGAAAAAAAAAAGTTGGATCAAACTGTGTATGTATATCCAGAGAGGCTGGGTATCGATTGTGTCAGAAAAGCGTGCCTTTTCTCATCTACCCACACCTTCCCTAGGACGAGACGCCATTTTTCTTCTCCTGTGAGCCGAATCGAAGGAACTTGCTCTCCTCCCCTTCCTTCCTGTACCACCCTTCACGATGGTATTCCACTTTTCTTCTGATCCACGAATTTCCAGAGGAGAGTTGAAAAGTTCGCTCGCTCGAGACGTTGAAAAGAAGAAGCCGGAGTTTGATAAAGGTTTATTTAACGTAACGGACGTTGGAAAAAAAAAGAAAGAAAAAAGAAAAAAGAAAAAAGAATTCTCAATTAATCTAGCGATCTTGCGAGCCAAAAGCTCGATCCAACCACGTATCGTTCTCGTTAATACACGAACGTAATGTGAAAATGTTGTATGTTGTTGGTATGGCAGGCGTTTTGGGACGAAATGCGCGGGCTGCGGCCAAGGATTGGCACCGTCTCAAGTCGTGCGTAGGGCGCAAGAGTTGATCTATCATCTAACTTGCTTCTCGTGCGCCCTTTGCTCTCGACAGTTGGACACCGGAGACGAGTTCTATCTGATGGAGGATAGAAAGCTCGTTTGTAAACCCGACTACGAGCAGGCCAAGGCAAAAGGTGACATTT